GACTGGGAGAAGTCAAGTTGACTCTTTCAGTTCGAACCAGAATTCTCTCTTTCTCTCTTTCTCTCTTTCTTTATCACTCTTTCTTCTTCTACATAACTGAACTCAATCAGGCCGAACTCTAAGGCAGACCTGAATTATATCACCAAGTAACCTCTGAAAGACTCCCTTATCTTTCAACAATACTCCATCTAAGGTAGAGAGTTTATGACTCATATCAATAGGAATAGCAACTGGTCTAGCACCCATCTTCCCTGTTTTAGTGAGCAAGTCAAGCACATACTTTTGTTGAGAGAAAAGGATCCCATCCTTAGATCGAAAAACTTCTATGCCAATAAAATATCTCAATTCCCCCAAATCTTTGACCTCAAACTCTATATGAAGGAAAGATTTAAGATCATTAATCCCTGATACATCATTGCTAGTCACAACTATATCATCAACTCATCAACATACACAATTAGATATACTGCCAGAGAGCCTCTCCTCTTCACAAAGAGGGTATGATCAGATTGAGTCTATATATAGCCAAAGTTAACAAGGGCAGCCCTAAACCTTTCAAATCATGCTCTAGGTGACTGTTTAAGTCTATAAAGAAATTTCTTCAGCTTGCAAACTTTCCCTTCCATATCTGTTCATACATCCCTGGAAGAAGAGACATATAGACCTCCTCATGTAACTCTCCATTCAGAAATGCATTTTTTACATCCAGCTAGTAAAGTGGCCAATCTGAATGTGTAGCCAGAGATAGAAAAACCCTCACAGAGGTCATCTTTGAAACAGGAGCAAAGGTCTCCAGATAGTCAATCCCATATGTCTATGTATAACCTTTTGCAACCAACCTAAATCCGTACCTTTCAATGGTGTCATCAGCATGATATTTGATGGTGAAAACCCACTTACAGCCTACTAGTTCCTTCCCTTCAGGCAAATCAACCACTTTCCAAGTGTCATTCTTAGGTAGGGCATCAATTTCTGTTCTCATAGCATCCCTCCATTCTAGAATAGTAAGAGCTTCTGACATTGACCTAGGTATTGGGTTAGAAGCAATAGAAGAAAGATAGCCAAATTATAAAGGAGAGAGCAAACTATAAGAAAGGTGTTTGGAAATGCAATGTGTAGTACATTTCCTTTTACCTTTCCTGATAGCAATAGAGACATCAAGGTTGGGGAAAGATGGCTCCAAAGGGATGGTATCAATACCTGTTGTCTCTTCTGTGAATGGAAGTATAGGAGGCTCATGTGGTGTAGAGGAAACAATCTGCTCACTTCTAGTTCTCTGCCGTTGGTACAGCCTGGGATTAAGAAAAGGACGAGGAGGTAACGGAGGAGGAATAGGAACATTGGAATGAGAATGAGATGACTGTTCCTCCCTTGACTCATTTGAAAGAGGAAGAGGCTCAAAAGAAGACTCAACTGGGACAAGGAGAGGAGAGCAAACAACTGTGACAAATCCTCCCCCTTTGGACAATGCCTCTCCTGAGAAGGATCATAAAAAGAAGAAAACTCATCAAAGGTGACATCCATTGAGACATACTGAGTTCCAATCTTTGGATCAAAACAACAATAACCCGTTTCTGTGGGGGCATAACTAAGGAAAATGCACTTGTGGCTTTTGGTTCAAATTTATGTCTCTGGGTACTTGGAATGTGTACATAACAAGTGCAGCCAAAGACACAGAGTGGAATAGGGAAAAGGTCCTTGCCCAGATGAAGAAGACTGAAAGGAGGCTTAAACCCCAACATTCTAGATGGCATACGGTTGATTAGGTAGGTTGTAGTGAGGACAACATTCTAGACGGCATACTGTGGTCACAGCCAGTAGAGAGTCAACAAAGGCTCCCGGAACCTGTCCGGATTCAGCAACATGCTTGTTTTCAACTTCCGAAGGGTCCATCTTCTTAAAACACTCCAAAAATAACTTCTAATAACTTCAAATAATAATCAATGAAGACAGGAAAAAAATTGTGTTGTGAATCAACCTCTATGCAGTCGTACCTGTTAAGTGCATCACCCTTGAAACCCGGGAGAAACAAAAGAAACCCAGCCGCACCTTGTAGACCTCACAGAACACCGAGCAACTTGAATCGATCTTCAAGATGAAGAACACAAAGTCTTTCAATCACTGAGCGCCAAGGCCAAACTCTCTGTGGGGCCCGCAAGCAGATTTCTCCAGTTAATTAGGGTTTCGGGCAACACACTTGATACTGTCAAGGGGACAACAAAGATAGCCTCCTCTCCAAAAACCACTAACAACTGGGCTGGAAAAAAAAATTTCTTTACCTATTCATTCGATTCAGTTCTCTATACACATTGTGTATGGGAAGAAAGAGGAGAAAAGAGAGAAAAGAAGAGCCCACTCTGATACCAAGAAGAAAAACAGCCTTCCGAAATGAATGGACTGTTTAAAAAGATGCAGAAAAGTGATTGAGAACAGCAGAAATCAAGAAGAGAGGAGAGAGGAGAGAGAAGAGGAAGAAGAAGGTAGCGGCAATAAGGGTTCAGAGAGAGATTTTTGAATCTAATCTCCTCTTACACCCCTAATCCCTTTTCATTAACTTAATTTTAGTAATTTACAGAAAAGGCCCTTAACTGGGCAAATAACTAAAAGTACATAATATAAGAAAGGCCCAAGTTGAGGCCCATTACAGCAAAGAACATAAAGAAAACAAATAAGATAACAGTCTATGGGCCATTCGGCCCATCTTCTTTACAGTAGTACTACTATAGTAATTATTTAATAGAGCAATTTTGTATCAATTAACAAATAGAAAAGGTTATTAACTTTATATGATAAAGATTCAAGATGGAAAGTAAAAAAGAAAAAAAACGGATGCAGTTGTTGTTTTATTTAATTGAAGGGAGAAAGAGGGAGAATAGAAAAAAAAAAAAAAGAAATCTCTATACTTCTATTATTTCTTTCTTTTCTTTCTTTCTTTCTCTCTCTCCTCAAAATCTTTTGATCTTTTAAATTTCAATAGAAAACATTGAAACAAATTATAAATGATATATAGTTTATAATAGAATGGATTTACACACTTATTAATAAGATGCATCAATCTAAATGATATTATAAAAAGGCACCAGCCTTGTCATTTTTATTGCTTGGACGAGACCCTAGTGGCAAGGACAGGCACCTAATTGCCACAAGTCAAGGTGTTCAAGCAAGGTGACTAGCCACCTTGACAACTATGAACCCCAGTAGTCCTAGCCATAAACAATGGACACTAGGCATTGTGTGTATCGACCTGTGCAGTGTTGTAGTTAACACATGAAATATCTGGCCTGGGGAGTACGTTCGCAAGAGTGAAACATAAAGGAATTGATGGGGGCCCACGCAAGTGGTGGAGCATGTGGTTTAATTCAATGCAAAGCAAAGAGCCTTACTAGGGTTTGACAAAGAACAAAAGCATACCAGAATTGCTTAGAGGCCAACTATCCACACTGAATCCTGCACATGATTTGATTGGATAAACAGTAATGGATCTCACATAAATACCTACAGTTGAGAGACTGTTTAAAACACCTGCATTTCATAGCACATAATCAGAAAAGAGATCATAACTGTTTAAAACACCTGCTTAGAGTTTGTTTTTGGGTAATCCAGTAAAATAGAGTTAAGATCATAACTGAAAAGACACTGGACTACTAGACACAAGAGTATAGAAAAATAGAATCGTAGAATGAGAGAATGAGAAAGTATGCATGAAAAATTTAGGTGAGTACATGCAATAACCTAAGAGAGAAACAGGAATGTGTAGATTTTACTAGAAAATTCCACAAATAACCTAAGAGATAAACATGCAAAATTCAAAACAAAAAGGGATAAATATTGTATAACAAATAGAAGTAGTGGCAAATAGATATGATTAAAAAGTGTACTAAATAAGGGTGATTTTCTTTTGATAAATAAAACACAAGTAAATAGATAAAATTATCAATAATAAAGAGTAAAGATCAGAATCAATGTACGAAGAATATAGTTGCACAAAGAACATATTACAGACAATATATAAAAAATTAAGAGACTATAAACAACATTAGAAATTGTTAAGAATGGTTTTTAAGGGTAATTTAGTCAAGCTCATGTTTAAATGTATTGGAGAGTATATTTATTATTTTTGCAATCTTGTGTATATTGCAAAGAATAGGGCTACACCCAATGGTTCTTCTATCCTCCAAAAGTCTTTTTTGCATTTTTTGCAAATGGCTCTCATACCCTCTCCTTCAACTTCTTTCATTGTGAAGCAAGTCCATACGTCACTAGTTTTTCTTTTAGCTCTTGTTTCCCTAGGTTCACTAGCACCAACACTAATGCTATAATCCATGGACATAAGGAAAGTGCGTTCATGAAGAACCGGTCATTTTAATAAATTAAAATATTAAAACATTAGAAATTAGAAGAAAAAAGAAAATTAATTACCCCTTACCTAGTACTCAAATCCAATATCCCCACTTGATTACAATAGATGAAGCCACCTAGCCTACCAAATTTCTAACTTGAGAAACTTGAGCAAGCTTCCTTGTTGAAAGGAAGTTGAAAACTTGAGAACTAAGATTCTAGATATCAAAGAGTAAGAGAGAGTAATTGTAGTAAGAGAGTATGAGAGAGAATGATTGTTGTTGTGATGAAAATGAGTAAAATACCCTCCTAAACTAGACGTTTATAGTTGTTGGGAAGGGTATTTTGATCTCTTTGGAGATTTTATAAAAGTTTATTTATCACATGACTAAAATGCCCCCAAAATTAGTTGTTTATAGTTGTTAGAAAGGGAGAGGGTGGACCTTTCCAACAACTATAAACTCACATGTCAGGCCATTCCGGTCCATGCCACAGGTCGTGCCATGGCAAGCACATGGGTCATGTCAGCCTACGGACCTAAATCCCCAAGCCCAGCCCAACCCGAGAGTGTGAGTACGACACGACACTATATCACGTGGGCCATGCCATGGCCCACATCATGTCAGGCCTACCCATTTTACACCTATACTCATCACCTAGCTTCACCTTGGAACCTAGAAAACTATGTCATGTAGGAAAGCATTCATTACATCTAATTAGCACAAAGGACAAGATTGTTTTTAGCAATAACAACTAACAAAATTCTTATGGGTCATCTTAGTTACAAGGGAAAATGTCTCAATGTAGTCAATGCCATAGCTTTGGGTGTAACCCTTGATATAAGTATAATGTTATACCTTTCCACAAAGCCATCAAATTCATGCTTCAATGTAAAAGCCCATCTACACCTCATTGGTTCCTTACCTTTTGGTAGATTTACAAATTACCAAATCTTATTCTTAATAAGATCCTCCATTTCACTTTTCATGACCACCTTCTACTTTGATTATATAAGGTCTCCAAGACATTTTTGTGTATAGGAATGGAAGAAATGGCAGAAAGAAAGGTCCTAAAGGATAAAATCAAATGAGAGTAGGAAATATATTTAGAGATAGGATGTAAAGTATACCTCCCAATTCCTTTCTTTAAGCAATAGGTGTGTCCATGTTTACAGGTATGTAAGGGTCAACAAAAGTAGAAAATAAAAAATGGAAGGGACCTACCTAAATATAAATCAAAGGAGATTTTGGTGAGCCTTCATCAATGGCTTTCACAACCTTCTTATCCAGCCACATTGAGTAGACTAGCAAGGAAGCCAAGGGAGGAGTTGGCTGAGTGGGAGTCAAGGAATGAGTAGGAAGGGGCATGATTATAGGGAGAGAAAGAAGTCTCTCTTCAAGTTTATCATGCACATTCTCCCCCTATAGTCATAGGAGGAAAGAAAGGAATGTCTTTCATAAAAGTAATATCCCAAGTGATACTATTTATCAGTAACAAAACCATAACATTTGTAACCCATTTGAGTGGAAAAAAAAAACCCAAAGAAGACACTTTTAATGGCTTAAGGATCAAGTTTAGAACAGTTTAGAGTATTTGCATTCATGTCCAAAAAAACAAGAAAGTAGTTAATTACTTCAAGAGTGCAATAACCAAAATATCCTCATCGTGAGCCCCAAATTGGAGTTGTGGCATTTATGCCATTGGTGATATTAAAATAATCACAATAGTTATTTAGAGCATTTTGTCTTTCACTCAAACCATAAACTAGAAATCAAACAAAATTAAAGCCATTTAAGAAAAAGCATATGGATATAGTCATAATCAAGGATATTTATAAAATAAGAAATAAGATGCACAAGCTCCTAACTTTGATACCTTCAGTTAAAAGTATTTATATCCAAACAAGTTTTCTTAGATGGGTGACACTACTGATAATGGAGAGAGCAAACATAGTAAACAAAATTTTAGTAGTGGAGTTGCTGAAGATTAACCTGTTTTTGACAAAGATAATGACTCTTCTAATGAAAGATGTTGGGTTGCAGTTGCATTTGGCTTCGAAACAAAATATTTTACTACAAAGCTAATAAATTTCTGCATATCAAGCATTAATGGAAAAGTTAGTTACAATAATAAGTTATCTTTCTTATAACAATAGAATGCATAAACTATAAGACATATGTGACCTTTAACGAATTAACAACAACAACAACAATAATAATAATAATTGTTTAAGAAGAAGAAGAAAAGACGAGAAGAGAAGAGGAGAGGAAGAGAAGAAAAAAAATGTGAGAGAGACCAAAAAAGTCAACTGACAGCTCTAGCTATTCTCATTATATATTAGGGTGACCATACATAACTTAAAAAGAACAAAAAGACTAAAATACCCCAGTGGCACATATTACATCACTCCCCTCAAGTTGGGGCATAGATGTCAGTCATCTCCAACTTGTCACAAAGATCATAATGTCAATAAAATGAGTAGTAGAGAGTCTAGAACCAGGTTTCAAGGGTGTCGAAGAATGAACCCGACCCCCACCCCCAAAGAGCCTTTATTATATTATGAATATTTACAAGTAAGCCCACATGAGCTTAAAGAATTTACGAGAAAGCCTTTATAGGCCAAAAGGATTACAAGAAAAATCCCTTATAGGGATGAAAGAGAAAAATAAAGTAATAAAAGATACAATACAGCGAGGGATACAATATTAGAATACATCAAAATGCTCCACACTCCCCCTCAAACTGATGTGAAGTCATCAGCATCAGTTTGCCCACAAGAAATAGATGCCTTTCCCTCATCATGGCCTTGTTAAAAATACCAGCGATTTGCATATCTGAGACCACACGAGGAAGAGAAATAGATCCATCAAGAAATGTGTCTCATATAAAGTGACAATCTACCACAATGTGTTAAGTGCTCTCATGAAAAATAGGTATTAAAGCAATCTTGATAGCACTAGTTTTGTCAGCATAAAGAGGAATCAAAGTAGGAACATGGACACCAAGATCATCAAAGAGGGATTGTAGCCAAACAACTTCATTACAGAGATGACATAGCTCTATACTCTACTTTTGTAGAGGACTTGGAGACTGTTTGTTGTTTCTTGCATTTCTAGGAAATAAGGGAATCACCCATGAAGATGCAACACCTTGTAGTAGAGAGTCTGGTGTCGAGGCAGCCTGCCCAATTAGCATCAGCATAGGCGCGTAACTGAATAGGAGAGGAGGCTGAAAAGAACAAGCCCTGAGATAACATGCTACAAACATATCGAATAATCCGATGAACAACAGTTAAATGGGGCTGACGAGGGGTAAAAACAAATTGACTTACAATCTGAACCGCATGAGAGATGTCAGGACGAGTCATAGTAAGATAAATAAGACAACCCACAAGTTGTTGACAGAGTGTGGCATCAAGAAGTAATGGACCCTCTGTTTTGGATAACTTGACATTCAAATCCAAAGGAGTATCAACTTGCTTGTCATCAGTGAGATCAACCACTTAATAAAATCAGATGCATACTTTTGTTGACAAATGAAGTATCCACGATCACTTTGTTGAACCTCATGCCCTACGAAGTAGGTGAGAGCACCCAAATCCTTCATATGGAATGAACTATGAAGTAGGAATTTAAGTTTTCTTATTCTCTCATCACCACCCCTGTCAACAATATATCATCAACATACAGAAGGAAGATTGTGATGCCTTGAGATCTTTTACAAACGAACAAAGAATAGTTAGAGGAACTTTGGTTATAGCCAGCATAAACAACATCACAAAACTTCTCAAACCAAGCTCGAGGAGCCTATTTCAGACCACAAAGGGACTTATTCAATCTGCAAATAAGCGAGGGATCACTACAGTACCTTGGAGGAGGTTTCATATACACTGTCTCCTTGAGCTGGCCATGAAGAAAGGCATTCTTCACATCCAACTAATGAATAGACCAAGATTGTACAACTAATAGAGCTAGAAGAACACAAACTATAGTAATCTTAGCAACCGGGGCAAATGTCTCTTCATAATCAATACAATATTCTTTCGTGTACCCTTGGGCAACAAGGCGATCCTTATATTGGTCTAAAGAGCCATTAGATTTCAATTTGATAGTGTAGACCTATCAATTCCTAATAACAGAAGCATCTGAAGGTGCAGGGACAAGATCCCAAGTGTCATTCTCATGTAAGGCATTGATCTCTACATCCATAACTGCTTTCCGAGGGCTGCTACTAGCTTGTTGGTAGGTATGAGGAATATCTGTAGAGGATAAGACTGTAGAAAAGGAACTATGGAAGAGGAAAAAAAGGAAGAGGAGCATCTAAAACAAGAAGAGTATCACTTATAGGCACAAAAGGAACTATGGATGATCTGAACCAATAGGAAGGGAGGGGGCAAGAATAGGGTCTGGTAAGCTTAACCATTGAAGAGGAATTGTCCTATGAATCAAATCATACAAGATAGAAACTAAAGGAGCAAGTAATTTAGCAACACCAGCAAAAAAAGAAATATGTTCAAGAAAAACAACATTACGGGAGATACGGGTATGTCAGACAGATGGATCATAGCATAAAAATCCATTATGGTCAGGGCTACATAGTGAATTGAGTAGATAATTTGGAGCTCTCACGAGAGGGGAGATGTACAAAACATAGACAATGAAACACATGAAGAAAAGAAAAGTTCAATGGACGACCAAACAATTTTTGTAAAGGAAAGACATTAGAAAGAACAGAAGAAGGAATGTAGTTAATCAAGAACACAGCCGTACTAGCTGCCTCCACTCAAAAGGAAGATGGAGCATGCGACTCCTATAATAACGTCTTCACCACACTAAGGACATGTCCATTCTTGCGCTTGGCCACTCCATTTTGTTGGGGAGTATCTGGACAAATTCATTGAACTTGTATCCCATTAGTCTTCAAGTAAGATAGGAAGACTCCATCAGTGTACTCTCCATCAGTGTCTTCAAGTAAGATCAGAGAGGAGGATATGTACACAAGACTAAAATCGAACACGTACCATGGTGTGAAATAACTGAAATGTTTGGAAGGCTTTTGATTTGTGCCAAAAATAATCCATCTGTACCTAGTATAATCATCAATAAACAGTACAAAATACTTGTATCCTAACCGAGAAGTAATGGAAGAGGTCCAAACATCAGTATGTATAATTTCAAATGGAGAAGTAGAATGCTCAAACTTATGAGAAAAAGGCAAAGTACAGCTCTTACTCAAACAACAAGAAACACATGAAGTATCAAAAGTTTGCAAAGAGGGAATTTTGTTTTTTAAAAAACCAGAGTTAAAAAAAAAAGAAAAAAAAACTTTAATTTTTCAAAATGTGGATGACCCAAGTGCTTATGCCATAAGCCCCAAACACTGCTTCTTTGACCAAAAAAGGAATAAGATGAGGAGCTTTAATAAGCAGATGACTTGGTTGTGAGTGGCTTCTTGAACTCCAAAGAAAATAGTTGGCCCAGCCTACTCCCCTTCCCTTTCACCTTCCCAATGCACCAGTCCTGAATCAAGCAACCATCGAGAAAAAAAAAGTAAGAATATGACATTCATCAACAAGTTGTCCAACTGAAATCAGGTTTATAGTGAGATTTGAGACAACAAAGGTCTTGGTAAGGGAGAGGGAAGAAGAGGGAGAAAGCCTAAGGGGCAAATCATTATTATCAATGATGTCCAATTTTTCACCATTGGCAATAACAATATTTTTGGGATAGGTTTCAATGTTATTATTTGAGGATTCTGAATAGGCTCCATTCATATGATTGGTAGCTCCAAAATCAATAAACCAAATAGGAGATGAGGAAGAACAATAACAAGAAAACTCACCAGATAAGCCAATAACAGAGAAAGCAGAAGATAACAATTGTCAAATTTCCTATTTATCCATAGAAGTAGATGATTCCCCTTTAGTGGAAGGATCAGACTTAGCAGGGGTGATATAAGAAGTCTGGCTCTCAATCACTTGGTAAGCACGATATTGGTTCTTTTTCTGGACACCTCTAGATGGTCGAATAGGACATTTCAGAATAATATGACCACGTTGCTTACAATAAGTGCACATATTTTTCATTTTACAATGTGAAGCAATGCGGCCGAACCCTTTACACTCGTAGCATTGAATCTTAGAGACATCCTTATTGGCTGATTTCTTATTTCCATGGACAATGAAAGCAGTATCAGCCCCAAAATCAGCTCACTTTCCATCAATTCCCGCAACAGTCAAGAGTCTAGTCTCCTACCTAAAGAGTTCACCCATCACTGAGTCTAGGTCTGGAAGAGTCCCTCTGTTCAATATGTTAGACCTGATTATTTCATACTCAAGTTTGAGTCTCATCAAAAACTAATTTACCTTTCGCTTCTCAAACTGTTTTTGAAGGTATTTAACACATTCAACAGAATCCGAGGGGTCAATATGGACTAACTCATATTAAGCCCATAAATCCTGAAATCCAGAATAGTATTCTTGTATTTTTCTATCCCCTTGACAATAAGCAAAAATCTCATATTCAATTTGATATTGCCTTGACATGTTTGATAGATAGTAAATCTTCTCCAAATATGCATACATATCATATATGCAGTCCTCAATAAGGAGCATTTTGGAAGAACTGAACAGATAAAAGATTCAATCACCTCTAGGATTCAAGAATTGGATAGAAAAAAGGCCCTTAGAACCATGTCACAAGAGGAGAGAGAGGAAAGATGGAACAAGAAAGTCGAACTAGAGGAAATCATAAGGAAGGAAGAGACTTAATCGAGATAGAAATCTAGATCTAAGTGAATTGAAGAAGGGGATGGCAATACTAAATTCATTCATTCATTAGCCAATAGAAGAAGAAAGAAAAATACCATTCTTAGTGTGGAAGTGGAAAGCCAAGAACTAAAAAAACAAAAGAATGTGAGAGAAAGGTTACTAAACAACTCAAAGCATGTGTAATACTACTAACAAACAACAAATTAATAGGTAACTTGGAAACATGTAAAACATCTAATAGGGGAAGGCCAAAGGGCAAAGATATAGATCCCCGGCCAGCAATGGAGAAGGATCCATCTGCTAGCCTCACTTTATCTCTACCTGAGAGGAGGGTATATGAATGGAAGTGGGTTGACATACCAGTCATATGGTTTGAGGCACTGGAATCAATGATCCATGGGGATTTCAGAGTCACAAAGGCTACATGTATGGCAGAGGCTGAGTTACCTAAGGATGTAAAAGAAGTTGAAGGAGTAGATCCAGTATCTGCATGTCTGAGAGCCCTACCATATTTCTCTAGATGGTCAGCTGCTAAGTTGGCTGAGGTAAACTTCTCCTGATTTGGTTTCCTATTCTGATCCCATGTTGTCTTCTTGCTCAATTCTTGTGCCCACTTTGGCTTCCCATTCAACTCTCAGTAAGTTTCACGAGTGTGCTTAGATTTCTGACAAAGAGTGCACCATAGTCTATCTTTATCATCTACTCGTTTTTGGCCTTCTCCTTTCTTTCCTGAATTCGTGTTTCCCTTTACTACTAAGGCAATAGTCTCCCCCTTAGGAGCATTCATAGCTGATTCCCTACTTTCCTCAGACTGAACCAAGGCATAAACTTCTTGGATTTGCACTCTAATGGAAGATCCTTGCTGCCCAAAATTTGCACTCTAATGGGCTCATACATAGGATTTAGACTCAAAAGGAAAACAAACTCACATTGTTGAGACACAAGTTGTTTATAAGCCTTGGCATCCTTTTCACTTTCCCACACTATGTTCCAGTAGTAATACAATTCATTCCAGACTGAAGTAAGGGTTGAATAGTAGGCAGATAAGTTTCTCTCCCCTTGCTTACATGTCAAAGTTTCAGCTTGTAATTGGTAAATCCTGGCATAATGCCTTCTCTGAATATGTTGCTTTTGTCTGCCCCCATACCTCTAGCTGTCTCAGCCCACATGACCATGCTTAACTGAAGGTGTCATGGATTTTAGAAGCCATGACATAATCAGACAGTTCTCTTGGTACCACTTGTCGTACTCTGCAGTACCTGATCTAGGTTCTTTCACTTTCCTGTTGATATGCCCTACCTTTCCTCTATCTGTAATATACAACCTCATCTTTTTGGACGGAGCCAAGTAGATCCTACCATCCAAGGGAGTGATAGTCATAGCGAAATTTAAACTGTCACGACCATAATTCAGTCCACCCTGATTGGATGTGGTTCCAGATGTTTCTGAATCTTCATTAGCCATAAAAAGAAACTTTAAAGTGAACAATGACCTGCTGTCTTTCAGTCCACACACAGATGACAACCACTCCCTCTCCTTAAGGATTTTTATGCATGAAGTAAACACATTCACACACAGCAGCTGCTGTCACACACATACACAGGTCGAACAGGCCTCTCCGAAGCTACTATAAGCCACAAAACAACAATACTCTGCTGCTATACCAGCAAACTGAACCAGGTCACTTGTGACCTACACAAGGTTCCACGTACACACAGATTTCTGGATCATCAGACCCACAGAAAAGGGTTTAATCTTCCCTTATACCATTTCAGTCAAGGCAAACCTTAACCTGTTCTTGGCACCAACACAGAAAAGAGGTGTTTAGCTTCTGTCCCTGTCCAGTCCGAAAGGGTTCTGGGCTTTCCAGTCTAAGAAACAATAGAAAAAGAAGGAAAATAATAGCTGACCTCTTAGGAAGAATCAGTCAGTCATTAACCAGCCTCTGGATTCACTACGGTTGAGTTTCAGCCCAGAAACAAGAGAGGAAATCACAGTTCTCAGGTCCAGAACAGACCTATCTTCCCCATTCTCAGTTCAGTGAATAGAAAGGAGTGCTTCGATCAGAACAAAAAAATTTACAAAGTACTGTCCCACTCTGATACTATGTTTTCTAGGAAGAAGAAAAGAGAAGAGAAGAGGAAGAGGAGAAAAAAAAAATGTGAGAGACCAAAAAAGTCAGCTGGCGGCTCCAGCTATTCTCATTATATATAAGGGCGACCATACATAACTTAAAAGGAACCAAAAAGACTAAAATACCCCTGCAGCACATATTACAACAACAATAATAATAATAATTTCGAAACAAATATGAAAATCCAATAGAAGAATCAATGAGAAGCTTTGATACAAAATGTTTTACTAAGCTAATAAATTGCTGTGCATCAAGCATCAATGAAAAAGTTAATTACAATAATTAGTTACCTTTATTCTAGCAAAAAAGATGATTAGTTATCTTTCAGGATGGAGTGTTGAGAAAAATAATAATATATTTTCAGATCGAATATGAAATTCTATCCAACAGAGGAATCAATCAGAAGATTATGTTGAATCTCCTAATATCAATCATTCATACTAACCAGTAAAATAAGCGGCTCACAGTTTGTCTACAACTAAATATACATGTATATGGATATTCATACCTTCCATGATTTCAAGTCGATATTTGTTTCTAAATACAAAATTAGCAACGAAAGAGTTTATTCATAGGAGAAAAAAAATGTATAGATGGGAAAAAGAAATCCACATAATTATATTACATGCATACATACAAAATGTTGCATACATGTCCATCCTGCTAAGATTGTCTTCAAATTGCATCCATGTCACACTTTTACTAAATATGACAAACAGTTGTTGACTTGTCTTTACAAATGGAAAATACACTTCCACATTCCATATTTTCTCCCAAATAAAGTGTTTGTCAATGTCAATATGCTTTGACTTAGTAATGGTTGTCTGATTATCAGAGTACATCTTCACTGTCTCATAAAAGTAACTACACAATTCTCATAAAAGAATCTTCAACCAGAATAACTCAAAGATCCCATGCACCACAGCTCAATACTCTCCTGTACCATATCTTGCAATAACAAATTGCTTCTTGCTTTGTAAAGACACGAGTTTTAGAAACAAAGGTACAATAACCTCAAGTATATCTCTTATCCACACATCTTAATGTATATCAATTGGTTCATAATACAAGGACCTTAAACTTAGAATTGATATGCATACATGTATGTCCATGTATGTATTTATGCATGCACATGTATAATTATGTTTGCACGTAATATATATATATATATAAACAAAACACAGTGGTGGGGGGGGATAACAGAAAAGGAAAGAAGAAGAATATTCTGTAATTTGAATACAATTGCGACTCATATAACAATTAGATAGATATACCCTGGCATCTTCAAATGTTGACATATATCCAAAGGATATTCTAACAGCTCCAATTGGTTTTCCACGAAGTATATCATAATCATCCCAGCAGATATGCCCAGCCTAATCCAAAAGGAGTAATTGATGAGAATGTAGCAAAGTTTAGGGATTCTAAATTTGGGTAACAAAGCTGAAGAATTCAACAGCAATAGGCCAAGGCTTTGGTCTAGGGCCCTTAGAAAATTCCCAATAGACTTCACCTTGTTGCATGCCTAGTAAAACCAAATGCTTTCTCTTGCATAAAATTAAATAAAAGACCATATCAGTGTAACTGTTAGAAGAAGGGGACTCTTTGGTTCACAGTTGGAATAGGAATTGGAATCGAAATCCATTGGAATTGGAATCAGAATGGTCCATTCCCCCTGCCTGTTTGGTTCAGATGGGAATCAGAATCAGAATCAGAGTGGGCTGGAATGGGATTCTCATTCCCAAGGGAGGGGGAAGGAATGGCCATTCCCTCAAATGGGGGAATGCCATTCCACCAGGAATGGGAATTGGGTTTCAATTCCATCCAACCAAACTGTTGGGATTCCTGACCCCTACTCCTGTGAACCAAATGGACCCTAAGATGGACAAGCACATCGAAAGGTATTACAGAGTCTCATAAATAACAACTACTGATCTGTGTATTTTCTGTAAGTATACAATCTTCCTATGCCAAAACTTTCAAGTTCATTAATGTATTTCTCTTTCTAACAAAGGTTAGCTCCACATCCAGTGCACCACTCCAATCCCAGATGGTCGAGACCAGAATTGGATAATAGCCTTCTGTTAAAATGAATCCATAACCAATATGGATTAAGTAGAAGAATAAGAACTACCTCAACATTTAAAAGAATATCCATGTGAGATAAACCCAGATACTTCATGCAAGCACCAGGGTTGCAAAAGCACCCTGTCTACAGAAAACATAAAAAATAACCATTATCAGTATTTCATCAAGAAAATACATTGTTTTATTTCAATTTGGTTCTCTGACATCACCTACTTTCCTTCTAGCACCACATACCACAATTAAACTAAGACCTTAAACACAAAAACCACATTTAAAATACTGGCATGAACCTATTGGCATTGTATCATTCTCTTTTTTCTCCTTTGATCAGTGGGAGGAAACAGATTAGTTCTCAATAGCAGTCACAATAAAGAATGATAGAAGAAATTTGATTCATTTATTGCTGAACGAATAAACAACTAACATGAACTGATGAACAGTGCGTGTGAACAGTCTTTAGGAGCTATCAACACAGCAAAACATTGGTATTATGACTTAAACTATCGTTGATTGTTGGACACTACTAAAAGACGTTAGACTTATCAAATGAATCCCAAAAAATACCCTAATATTGAAGAAACAAACTAAAGGGCCAATTCTGACTTAAATTTTCTCTAGCAAAAAGAACTACTATAAGTTGGGATGACCCTAGATGTGGGGCCTTTGTTCAAACATCTGACTTTGACTTTGAACAATTGTTAATAGTCCCAGAAATCCAGCTACAGGAACCTCCCTTGATGAAGGTCTTCCTACAATCGAATTAGCTTGAGATTTGGAGGGTCTCTTTTTCAATTCTTAAACTTCAATGTATCCACATTTCAGATCTATAAATGGTTGGATGGAGAGAAATTGGGCTTGCAACTACTGCCTAGAAGTTTGACTATTAACATTAACGGTTGCCACCATGAGTTCATCCTTCTCTAAGCTTTTCTTTTGAGATTTGGTTAAGGATTGATGAAAACTATTTGTGTTACTTCTTTTCCCTCATGTTGCCAATATATTGGGAATATTTCTAATGTCATTGATAAATTTAACATCTAAAACTGAAAACTTTAGAATATCATTGAAACTTCCTGATATTTCATTAAAATTTTTGAAATCTTTGAAAGTTATTTCCTAAAACAAAAAAAAAATGAAGATTCTGTGGTGGATTATTGGTTTACAATTTTGAATGTCATTTACTTAATCACTACTGTTGAGAAAAAAAAAGGAAGAAAAAAAGATAAATAACTAGAAAAGAAAATTCTCAATGGAATTAAAAGCTGTGGTAACGAAAAAAGTTAAAAATCAAAATGGCAAGTATACATGAATATAGAAGAAAATTTACCTATAAGACTAAAGGGAGATAGAGAGACAACCAATGTTGCATGAACTCTCTTATTGTATCAATCAGGGACACACACCAGAGTCCAGCTGATGCAGGCGCTGAAGAGTCAAAATTGGAATTTTATGAAATTTTATGAAATTTTATGTATTTTTGTATTTTTGTATTTTTGGATAGTAGGGGTATTTTTGTCATTTTTCAATTCTCTTTGGGGCCTAATAATAGGGTTTAATCTGTCTATTTATAGTTTGTTCGTGTTTAAAATTTCAGAGTCATTGCATAAGTAGGCTTAGAGTTATTGAGTCTTCTTTGAACTGATATAGGATATGACAGCTTAGCTTGAGTCCTACTAGGGTTATTGAATCTAACAGTTTGACTCCTAAGACTATTATGAGTCTAACAGTTTGGCTCCTAGGGTTATTATGAGTTTAGAGTCTATAAATATGTATAGACGTTTCACACAAAAGGCAATGAAGTTTATTGAGTTTTCTTCAGCTTATGCTAACTATGGTGAGTGTTCCTAGGCACCCCTGTGATTGATTCCAGGTATTTTCTCTCTTCTTTCTCTCCCTATTTTCTCTCTTATTCCTTCAAGAAGCCATTACAGCCATCAACAGCCATAAAATTCTGATCAAGAAGACCATTCAACATTCTCTAAGGACTAGAACTGAGCTGGCCCTACATCACTAGCATTCCATGGATTCTAGAGGAAACTTTTATTTAACATTTCCTTTCTATCTCCTAGATTACTCGGGATAAATGAGTAGCTAATATACAAGATGAATGATATTTTCCATAACCAAAATTACTTGGTAACAAGGGCAACATTTTCACAAGTATATTGTTGAAATAATTTAGTTATTTGTGTTAGGGTCTGTTTGGCTAGTTAAAGCGTTTTTTTATTTTCTGTTATTTCTGTTATTGTACTCACTTACAGCAGGGGCACATGAGTCTTTTCCCTTCTTATTTTTGCCGCCCTATATAATATAATAGAAGCTGGCGCCGCCAGTACAGTTCCATTGCTCCAAACCTTTTTCTTCTTCCTTTCTCTCTTCTTCCCTTCTCTTCTCTACCTCATATTTCAATCGGATTTATTGCCAAGATGGTATCAGAGCCAGGTTGTTGAATCTGGGCGACCAAGTTTCTCTTCAAGTTGCTGAATCTGGGCTGATCAAATCAGATCTACAACTGGTACAACCACTGAATCTGGGCTGATCAAATCAGAATCTGGGCGACCATGTTTTCTTTCTTCTTTTATTTCTTTCCTTGGTCGTGTACCAAGTGGAGAACAAATGAATCCAAACCACTGAATGTCGGTAGACTTTTGTGAGGGTTATACCTTTTTTTTTTTTATTTGTTGGATCGTGTGATCTTGTAACTGTGAAAAGGTGACTATAGGTCATAGATGACCTGTTTTCTCTACTTGTTATTCTGATTTCATGTGTGTTAGGATCTCTCTTATTGATTATTGCTGTGGTGGAACTTACTGGAAAACCAGTAGGCTGGGACTGTTCTTCATGCAGATCTGAAAATCAGTCTCGTCATAGTTCTTCTTTGGAAATTCGTGCTGTTTTTTGTGCTCAGATTAAGTCCAGAACTGAATTGTTGTGTGGAGCTTTTGTCAATATAAGGAGGGATCCTAAGTTGAGAGTTTAGATCAAAAAACTTCGTGTTTACCATGTCGTCTGAGAATTCTGCTACTTCAGAGATTTCAGGGAGCCACAATGGGGTGAGTGGGGGAATGGATATGAATTTTCCCATGGCTGTTATTCCCTTTGATGGTCTGAACTACCTTGAGTRGTCTAGGGGAATAAAACTCTACATCACTGCTAGGGGGAAAATAGGATACATCAATGGGAGAGTGAAGGAACCAAAGAACA